TGCCCCATTCCTATTGCTTGCGTTGAAAGATTTTGTTCTAGACACATTCCGAGTGTTGCCAACGAATCACACTTGCAATGGTGAAGGAGGGAGCGGATTTTCAGGTGGCCGGATCCGTCCTCGATACATACTCGACGCAGATATCTTCTCAACTAGGAAATGTAGAAGAAAGCTAAGAAGACCATCAGAAAGCGCAAACCTTCCGCTTTCCAAAACTGTCTTCCCTTTTTCAGGATCTTGCGGCATTAGCGAGATATTGCTTTTGAAGTGGCAAAAACTCGCGTGAAAATTTCAGCGTCCTCGACGTTTACTCGACGAAATTTGAGAGACCCTATCTTTCTGCATGGAAGACTTTCAGAGCAATTTCAATACTTCTTGGAAACGCGAAATCCAGCTCTATCTAACCCTACCTCAAACTGCTTCAAAGGTTATGAAATGGAGGAATGCAACCTTTTCATCGAGGGTGTAGATTTCGACGGTTTTTTTTTCGGGATTTCAGCAAATCTGACCCAGTGACAATCGCGCCGCAGCTGCCGTTGAATCGGCCGTTGATTGATACACTCGGCTGTTTCGATATACTCAAGCAGGAATTAAGATTAAATCGCAACCCCGTGCCTTCAGGATTTCTGTGCATTTCTGAACGAACCTGACTTTGAGGTCACACAAAGTTAATGCCTCTTTCCTCGAGTCGATTTCAGTAAATACACAAAAGTGTGCAGCGATGAAAGACAGTGCATAGATGACAAGATGAGGCGTCCATAACATTATTTTGCAGGATTTTTTTGATTTATTCTTGCAGGATTTATTTTGGTTAATCAATTAATTTAATTAATTTTGCAAGCAAAAAAAATGCGCGGCCACATGATCGTCCCCGACATGTTCCACGAGGAGATTTGTATTTTCCTAGATTGGTGCCTCCATTTTCATGTTTCAGGCACCTGAGCTATACGAAAAATAATTTCCTTGTTACCAGCTAACTATGAATTGAAAATTATTTGGTAATAGTAGTCAAAACAGTTAATGCAAATATATTGAAAAGATGGTTAATGGTTCAGCGCACCAAGGGCCATGTCCCTTCAACCTGCCATTTAATAATCTGGAAATAATTTTGCGCTGTTTTAGGGGTGTGCCCACGGATCTCGATTTCGGGTCGGGGGGGGGTGTTACTTCTGCGAAACGATTAACTGCGACCACGCATTTTCATTATCGCACCCTGCATCACACAGACCTAACTGTCAACGTGACACTGTTTGAAAGTGGCGGGCTTCCTTTGAACGTTGGGTCCCGCCACTATTGAGTCGCTGGTACCTAGTTCGACTCGCTGGTACATCGTTCGACTCGCTGGTGCAAAGTTCGATTCGCTGGTGCAACGTTCGATTCGCTGGCGCAACGCTCGGATCGCTCGATTCGCAAACTATGACATCGGCCTATCGCTTCGAGCTCCCCCACTTTCTTCACGATTTGGGGCGCGGCCGCGGCAAACCCGGCCGAGTATGCGCCATCAGCTTACCTGAGTATTCGACGTTACATTACGGCATCAGCTTGCCTGAGTATTCGACGTTACATTGCGAATGTAACGTCGAATACTCAGGTAAGCTGATGGCGCATACTCGGCCGGGTTTGCCGCGGCCGCGCCCCAAATCGTGAAGAAAGTGGGGGAGCCTATCGCTTCTTTTGGCCCCTGACTACTGCTTCCACTGGTGCATGTATTGGGTTGGTGCATAATAATTCAATCAGTACAAGAGAAACCCTAAAAATCGCCTATACCTTTTGAAAGTGCTTTTTTCGCTCTACAAAAATTACTTCGTCATTTCCCTCAAAATTATATTTGTACTCATACATAATGCTTAGAAGTTGGAAAATCCAGACGGCAGAAATCGGCATTTCGACAGCTGTTATTTTTCAGTTCACATAAAGAAAAAAATACCGTCAAAACAAAAGTTCTTCAGAATCCATTGTTCTTATCGAACCTCTCTCTAACCAACCCTACATATTTCACTCAAATTAAGACCGTATTCATGTCGTACAAATTGCGAAATAATGAGGACTTCGAGAGCGAGCCCAACATCTTTTTTTCAATTCCAAATCCAGTGACTTTCTGCAAAATAGGATAAAAGTCGTAAATAATGGCAAAGTGGACATCCCTGATTAGTTTTATGTTTTTAATTTCTTCACAAAACGTTTGCAAAAATGAAAAATGCAAGCGCTACGATATTATGCAACCCATTACTTCCATGCTGCGCACGCACTTTATCGTAATCTCTCGCTCTAACTCACTTCATTCGCGGATTCTTGTCCTCTTTCCTTTACGGCCGGCCCACCTATACTTCGACGTCAAAATACAAACACGTATCGAAATTAGCATTATCAATCGAGGGAGGCGCATTGTGCGCCAGAGCGCGTGTTGACGTTCTTCACCCTGTCCGCGCTGTCCGCACGGACCGCACGGACCGCAAACTATGAAAGGAGCCTAAGGAGAGATAAATACGCTTAAATGTGTCTTCGAACGCTGATCTCAAATCTACCTTCCAAATCTGCTAAACGATTCTCTGAACGGAGTTATGAAGCAAAACAGCGCAACGGTAGTGGTCGGGACTCACAGTCAAGATGTAGTGAGATCGACTCCTTGTCGTGTTTTCTGTCTTGCTTCTGATATATACCATTTGAGCGGTTTTTGACAGCCTACTTAGCTATACTCCTTAAGAACAGAAGAGTAACATAATAAGGGGCCGATCTTACGACGTTGTGACTGTGAGACCCGACCACTACTGTCGCGCTGCCTTTGCTTCATAACTCCGTTCATAGAATCACAAAGCAAATTTCAACGGTCGAAGGCGCATCTACACGTGTTCCTCGGTTTCGGAAAAAAAAGCCGCTTTCCTCTCGGCTGTCGTCTCTTATGGTGTGGTCTGCACTCGATTTTCTTGTGGTCTTCCGAAATAGACTGTATTTCTCCTGTTGATTGGCCATGGCGACTTGGGATCTTTTTCTAGTTTGTGAGTGTGATGCGCCCAGAACATAAGCTCCTCCTCTGCCAGTGCGACCGGGCTCCTGAGGACCCGGCAATTTTTAGCAAGTGAAGCGCCGTATCCAGAAGAGAGGGAGGAGTACTGCAGCTTCAACATCAGAGAAAACACATTCTATCGAGACATATCAGAGATATCCCTACTGTTCCGCCTTTGATTCATTCGGCTCCAGCACCCAATCAGAGACTACCTCGAATACATATAATATTATACACAAACTCTCAATGCATTTTAGAGGAGTGCAAAAGAATGAGTTACATTCCTGAGAGGAAAGGTTCCAAACTTTGCAATCAAGAACGGTTTCAATATAACACTATGAAAATTCACTGCAGGCATTGGCTCCCCCCTTTCCGCACACGATTTGAGGGGCGACGGAAACGTACGAAGTCCCAGGGCGCATGCATAGTCGGTCGTCCGACAGCAACGATCGTAACTGTCGCACAGCATTCGATGCGTATCGATCGTCAGACTTGCCTGAGTATTCGACGTTACATCACGTATCGTTACGATCGGACGACCGACTATGCATGCGCCCACCCAGAGCTGCTCTTGTTGCAGATCGTTTTACAACTAACCCGCTCATTTTGCGGGCCTATCGACTCGTGCCCGAACGGATCCAAATCGTGGAGTGGGGGAGCCCGGTTAACGGACTACTTGAACCCGGTCCTTTAAGCCGCCTCAGATCCATCTCTGGGCGCACGCATAGTCGGTCGGACGACAGCAACGATCGTAACTGTCGCACAGCATTGGATGCGTATCGATCGTCGGACTTGCCTGAGTATTCGACGATTAGATGCAGTTAGACAGTCAGACAGTTGCGATCGTTGCTGTCGGACGACCGACTATGCGTGCGCCCTCTCGTCTGCGCTCTCTCACCATATCAGCGGCTCATGACCATTGTGTGATCTCACACATTCAAACTTTTGCCACACTGTTGGCTCACCCACCTTGAAGTCCCTCCTTCCTTAAAGGCTTTAGTTCTAGGGCTCTCACCTCCTTCCCTGGGATTTGGAGCCGAGCCAGGTGCCGTTCTAACCGTCTGTGCCCTCTACCCATTCGTGGCAGGACCATGGAAGAAAGTTCAAGTAGTCCGCAAAGGTCTACGGACAACTTGAACTCAGTCCTTTGAACCGCCGCGATGATACTCTCGCCTGTGCTCCCTCGCTTTAACAGCGGCTTATGATTACTGCGATCTGATACAATCAAACTTTGTCAAGAACATAATGGCTTTATCCAATCCGGAGCCCATCCTTCAACCAAGGCTTAGTCCTAGACTTCTCAATTCCCTGTTTTGGATATTGGAGCCGAGCCAGGGACCCTTCTTTTATCGTCTGCGCTATGGCCTTTCCGCGGCAGAGAAAACAGGGGAGAGTTCAAGTAGTCACGTAATCAGTCAAACC